TTGAGCACTTAACCACTTGTGCCACCCAGGGGCTCTGCCCAAAGAAAAACTTTACTCCATTCCAAAGAGGAAACTGCTTCGAGAGATTGGTGTGCAAAGGTGCCAGCCCTCCTCCCCTTGTAGTGGAGGCTTGCCTCTCCCATGGCTCTGGCTATGGCAGGCATGGATCCCCAAGATCCCTAAACGAGACCTCAGCCCCTCAGGCAGCGTTCCTGCAAGCAAGCTGCCGGTCACTCCCATCTGCCTGAGCTGAGTTTTGGGGCAGGAACAGCTTCAGGAGAGGAAGTGGAGGCTGGAGCTTGCATACCTTGCTGCGGTGTGGGAAGGATGCCAGGCACTGTTGAGGCCTCCATTGTCAGCCTCTGGAGGGAGGAAGGCTCCCCTGCCTGCCCCTGTTGCTAGTCACGCAGCAGCCCCCAGGGCACCTGCCCCTCGGGAGGAGACTGCTGCCACAGCGGGTTCTTTTGACTTCTTTGTGGTTTCTGGGCCTTTGGAGGGCAGTCGGTCGGGAGCAGGAGGGACCCAGCTAGGTGGTCTCAGGCCTGGACGACCCATGAAAGGCAGAACCGAGAGTTTGGGGAGGAAGTGAAAGCCCTCCCAGCTCAAAAGGAAAATGCAGAGAAATAGAAAATACTCAGTTTCCCTCCCGCCCCCACACAGGCTCGGCCCACAAACTGGGGAGTAAAAATAAAGAAACAGTACAGGAAGCATGGAGCAAGTGACTGTGCGTTGTTGTTGAACTTTAGAGAAGTAAGGGGCCAAAGGGTAGAGGCTGGTGTTGGCTGGGAGGGGAAATCCGTTGGCTCTGCGGGACAGTTGAGAGCTGGGAGGTTTCCTGAGAATCAGGTGGGCACCCTCCCAGGGTGCCAGGCCACGGAGGTGCAGTATCCACCTAGGATTAGCTAGGATTTTAGGCTTCCAACCCCTATATTAGGTGCCAGGGGGACTCACGTTCCCCGGTTGCATTGAGAGACAATGCACAAAACAAGCACGTACAGATACGTGCAGGTCTCTCCAAGTCTTCTGAATGTCCCTGGAGTGTCACTTTTTCATGTGTGTCCCCCCTACCCCCCTGCTTACCTAACATTCCTTGCCTCATCCTAAACCAGTATTGCTCAAAAGTAGTCCCGAGTGTAATTGCATCAGAATCATCGGGGTGTGGATCAGGGGCAGGAGAGCTTGGTGAACCTCGAAGCCCTCACCCCAGGTTCACAAACCGGGCCAAGCGAGAGTGAGGTCCAGCTGCCCCTAGTGACTCTCCGGCTCGCTCCCTCCAGTTTGAGGAGGCCGGGCTGGAGGGTGTGAGAGCCTCCCTCCCTCCCTCCCACCCACCAGCCAGCCAGAACGCTCTCCCTGTCTTTGGCTCTCTGCCCCTTGTTTATTCAGTGCAGCAAATATTTATTGGTTCAAAGCTCTGGGAGGCCTGTGTGGAGTCAGCTGCGCAGGCTCCACCCAGAAAGGAGTCTGGAAACGGTCTCTAGTGTACATCCTGTGAGAGGGACTGACCCACTAAGGACGAACAAAGACCCCAGGGGACACTGGGGCAGGTGGGGAGTGGGAAGTAGAGGACAGCGGGAGGAGGAAGCTCCTTTGAGAGCCCGAGCCTCACAGCCTCTACGGGTGTTCCCAGAGTCCAGTCTTCAGGCCCGCTCCCTAAACAGAGTAAGCCAAGCGTTAGCTCACAGCTCGCAGGATTGTCCTCTGTAACCAAGGCCCCCAGGGCTGGAAACCAGTAAATCTGTAAATCTGCACCACCTCTTCCCACTGCTTCCCACCTAGCCCGCAAGCTAGGACCCCCAAGCCATCTAGAGCAGTGGTTCTCAACCTGTGGGTCGCGACCCCTTTGGGGGGGTTATACATCCTTTCACAGGGGTCACCTGATTCATAACAGTAGCAAAATGACAGTGATGAAGTAGCAACGAAAATAATGTGATGGTTGGGGGTTCGCCACAACACGAGGAACTGTATGAAAGGTGCCGCATGAGGAGGGTTGAGAACCACTGACCTAGAGCATTCCCAGCACCAGAGTAGCCTTAAAGACCTGGAGCTGAATTCACCAGCCACCTGCGGCCATGTACATTTCAATGAGTGAAGATTATGTCCAAATGAAAGCTGTCTTTCCTTCTGCTCAGCCTCTGCAGGTGGCCAGTGGCTACTGCGCTGGGGGCAGGGGGAGGAGGGGGACACAGACCATCTCCACCCCTGCGGAGAGGTCGAGGTCTAGGGCAGGGCTGGCCTAGGGTGCTGAAGGCTTTCTTCCACTGTTTCCTGTTGCCCCTGCCCTCACCCAGCCCTCTTACCTCCACCTGCACATAGCTGACCTTACACAGAGAATGGTCAAGGCCCTGGAGCAGGACACAAGCTCTGCCCAAAGCCCAGCACTGCTGTCGAAATGCTATAGCGATGACCTTGGCCAAGTGATTAAACCTCTCTGGGACTCCGTGTCCTCATCTAGAAGCCACCAATAACACTGCTCCCTGGCAGGGTGGCCACCAAGACTGAATGAGCTGAGTGATGTGATGCCTTAGGGGTTGAATTGTGTCCCCCCAAACTACGTGTTGTAAATCCGGACCTCCCTGCCCATGTTCATGGTGCTGCCTGGGGACAGGTTAGGCTAAGGAGGGAGGATTAGGCGAGGGTATATTTTGAGTCTTTCTCGTGTGAGATGCAGAATCGACTCCGGCAAGCCAGCTGAGAGTAGCAGAGACAGATCAGACAGGTGCCAAGACGGAGCTCTCACCAAGGAACCAGGAAGCCCAAGTGCAGGCAGGGGGCAGGGAAAGCCTTCCCCGAGAGCCCCTGCTCATAGCCGCTGAACTGTGAGAACATAAATGCCTTTGTGTTTGTGGTCTTTCCAGGGAAGGAAGACATAAGATGTTACAGAGAATGTGGCAAAGTAACTACACAGAGCAAGTGCTTAATTTGGCGGGGCTAATCAGTCATTCGTATGGGAAATATTTTTGGGCACACACACTGTGTGGCCAGGCCCTGTGCTAAGATGGAGATAGGGGTGGACAAAAAGATCCTTGGCTTCTTCAAGCTTGATTCTAGTGGGGTTGACAGACAAGAAACAGGACCTTCGTTAAAGATCATGTGTCACGGCGACCCTGCTAAGGAGAAAATGAAGCCGGCCTGGGACAGCGGAGCTGCCATGTGCGGTGCTGTGGGGAGGGCCGTGGCATTGAAATCCGATTTGGGAGCCCAGGAAACATCTCACTGAAGAGCTGATGCTTGAACGAAGGCCTGAGGGATTCATTTAGGAATGAATTTTAGGAATTCTTTGCATATTTCTGCTGCTTCTCTTAACAACCTGGGATTCCCTGGGGGGCCCACTGTGTTCTAGAGCAAAGGGCTCGGTGGGGACATAGGGGT